AAGGAGCAGAGAGAATCCTCCAACAAACATTGTCATTGCCAAATTGTGCCTTAGGCACTGTACTTAATTGAAAAAAATAGATCTTTTTTGGCAAGTAAAATTGCAAAGCAATCACCGGCACGATCACAAACAAAATATATTCACACTGACGTTACATAGCCTGTCATCAACATCTCAAAGGACGTTATGGAGCAAACATATTCTCTCCTTCTTGTAGCAATAGGCACAGAAGACCTGCCCAAAGTCCCCCATCTCCACATCAATGCATTCATTTTTAAGCAGAATCCGTATTTCCCAAATTTGATACTCCTTCTCAGGACTCTATAGAACAACTGTCACTTATCATATCATGTTAATTTGACGTATATTATAGTAGAATTAGATATATGTGAGAAATCCAGTTTGCAGAGATTACAAGTGTATCAAGCTGCCGGTAAACAGTTCCTGTATCTACATATGACGGTACAAGTTAGTGGTGTCATAAAGGCACTTGTCTCTCACAGACAGTATTGTCTTCTCTCATCAGTCAAAAATAGATCTAAAAATATTTATTTTAACATCCAAAATGGTTTTTACTCCTTAAAGTGGTGCAAAGCATCATCTATAGAACAATAATTCATTAATTCAACAAGAAAGAGCCAAGTGCAAATTAGCCATAATTAAATATATTTTTATAATTAATTCACTTTAATGCTATGCTCTCAAAAAAATGCTAAAAACCATGCTATAGTAGAAATGTGATTGGCACTAGCAGCCACAAACAAAAAGGTAGGTGCATAAAATAGTAGAAAAAAGCTTATTTACGAAGTTACTAAAACAATTAAGTGATGAGCTGCAAGGAGAGACATTTGCCACAAGTCTTTTCCAAGACATGCTGGAAGCCGCACCTGACCAGTATGAAATATGTAACACACATTTACATCATTAGGGACATCTTTATAGCTAGCTACCTAATTTTACAAAAATAATTCCAAAATGCTCGTTCACTTCAAAGTGAATTCTGTTTCCATTTTCACCGAATGTGAAAAGACAAATCAAAACCAGATTGAACAACAGAGTTTAAAAAGACACCTAAGCAGACACTAAATAAAGTTCAGTGCAGTTTTCAGGGGTTTATGGATGGCAGTGTGAAACCCTCGAAATCCCATTTACGTGGTCAGTATGTATGTACAGATTTTCCTCTTCAATTCTCAGTACCTTAAAGCAATAATTCGAAAGAGTTTCCACCAACAAAAGACCTGTTTTTGCAAATCAAAGGGCTCAGGTATTAAAAAAAATAGACATAATTGGCTTTGCTTGTGTAAATGCTAATTTGCAGTTGGTGTTATAGCTCCATTAACTGAGAAATCTAAACACACAGAAAGGTGTGATGGATGGAATAAATCAAGTACAATCCAAAAGCCAGCAGGTTTTTTGCCCTTAAAACTTTCTGCCGTAACAGCACATTAAGAGTACATCGAGACTGCTGTGAAGTTGCTGGATGGAGCCTCATGCTTGAACACTAATTTTCACGTCCAGTCTTCTTTAAATAGTTTTGCCAGTATTGTACCATAAAGTCGTTTCTGCACCTTTGAAAAATATGCTCACTGAACATTGCACAAGGTTATTAAAAACAGAAGAAAAAGAAGCCATTTGATCAAGTATTAAGCTATTCCTTCAGAGAATCGCACTTCTTTGCTTATAGCAATGACCAGAATTGCTGATGGTGTACTGACAGTTGCCATGGCAAGTGGGTGACTGCGTGGGATAGCAGACATATAGCCAAGTCAACTGCTTATGCAATCTCCATGATTTAAGCAAGCACAGAACACACCACTTTTATTATGTGCTGCCAATGATCTGCAGAAAGTGCCAAAAGAAAAAATGTTCTTCTAGGTTAGGCCGTGGCTGTTTCAGTACTCCCATTCATCTGTTTTCATGTCCAGATAGTAAAGAATATTCTGCGCAAGCTTTACTGCTTGCTTTCTGGCAGCCTTACACCGCTCGTCACCTTGTGGATCAACAGCATCAAGTGCTAGAAGTTGTTTCGTAAGAAGTTCTTCCAATCTCATGTAATTTTTATCCGTTCTGTTTCCATCAAATGAAATCACCTCCTGCTGAATTTGAGACAAGTTTCCAAGAACAGTCCAAACTGCTCTATGAGACTGATGTTCGGCAGCAGTTTGCTCAGGATACATTTGCCTTTTTTCAAGTGCTTCTTTCAAATCAATATATGTTATAAGAGTTTGAACTTCTATTACTGCTCTTCTCCTGGCTTCTCTAATACAGGGGTTTTTTCCTGGACTCACCTCATCTAAGTGGGCAATTAATCCCTGCAGTTCTGCTTTGGATCCCAAATACAAATCGGAAGCATTCTCTGTTTTTAAAAGTAAAGAATTAACTTCCTTCATTTTCTTGCGGATCTCTTCTATTTTTAGAATGGACTGATTTTGTGCCAAATCATAAGCATGAGTAGAATTCGCTTCTTCTTCCAAGTCCAGGTATTTCTGCAATTTATTGATCTCTTCCACTGCTTCCTTTCTGTAATTTCTTATTTCCGTGCGACCACAGACATCTAAAGCATCCAAATCGGCAATGAGGCCTGTAAGCACGCAGGATAGATGCCTGCAGGTATCATTACTACTCACTCCCATTAGAAGCGCAATAAGAGTTCCTCTTGCTTTGTTCACATCACACATTACAGAGTTAATTTTGGAGACAGAAGGATGCGCATCATTAGAGAGTGGCAGGGACAGCTGCTGCTTTACACAGCTTTCTATAATCTCCTGAACAGCACATACTTTTGTCAGAGTGCGATATCTTGCTTTGCGTAAAGAAACTTTCCCTCCGGTTTTCACCTGGGTAAGCCTCAGTACAATGTCCTGAATACCTTCTTCAAATTCGTCACTTATACAGTTACCTCCTTTGTAAAAAGGTGTAATCTCACGTTCCACGAGTGACTGTGCCTCCTTGAATATAGCCTCTATTTCCAGCCTGCGCGGATGGTTTGCATTTTGTTCCAGTTCCTTTAGCAGCCTCTCTGTTTCCTGAGCAGCGCGCTTTCTGGCTTGCTGAATATCCCCCTTTCCTTCGGTGTCTACAGAATCTATTTCAAAAAGCTGTTTAGTAAGACTCCTTTCTAATGTCTTGTAATCTCGATCAGTAGACAGACCGCTGAAGACAACCACTTGCTGTTCAATCTCTTTGACTGCTTTCTGTATTTCATGCAACCGTTTTATGGATGGGTGTTGGTTACCCATATCCATTCTCTTCTTTCGTCCAGTTTCAGATGAACTACAAGAAAAGTGAGAACAAGACTTGCGATTAATAAAAGTGCTATGCAAGCACATGTCACAACTTTCATAACATCCTGAAGCACTTCAGCATTACAGCTATTTAAAATATCACTAGCAATAGGAATAAACCACTTGGCTGATATTTCATAGCCATTCCTCTATTGTTTCACACCTCTTTCTCCCGCTCGGGCTACAGGGGTGATGCTTTAGTTACCACACGACCAGCTCTTAGCGCTTACCCACAACCTCCAGCCCTCCCTTCCCCACCTGCTCTGCAGCCGAAGGCATCGCAGAACAAACCGGACACCCGCAGCCCAGGGGAAAAACAGCAGCAA